CATTGCACTCTCCAGCCAGAATTGTGTGTGTGTGTGGATAACACACACACACTTGCTGCCAGAAGCTGCAAGTCCCTTGGGACCTGCCCAATGCCAAGGACTTGTTCAATGGAGACAGCTTGCCCGGTATTTTTTTTCTCTAACCCCATGTTACTTAGTTCAAGTGGGAAATTACCAACACTCATACATGCATGTACACACATACACACACATTCTTTCTTAACACACAGCCCTCAAAAAAGTGAGGGAATCTTAATTTAGTGATATGGACAGTTCCCTTTTCAGAGAACTCTGCATTGAGATTTTTAAAAGTTGAGTATATGGATGGATGTACTCCAAGGGAGAGACCCACACAGGAGTACAGTCCCACCCTGGGCAGAGAAATCTGTATCTGTACAGAAATTCACCCAATAAGGGATTGGAGCAGCAAGCATACAGTACTGGAGGTGGGGGGACAAGCCAACAGGGATGTCCCTCTCACCCTGCAGGGCAGAGCTCCAAGGGCATGGACCCAGGAGACTCCTATCCTGCTGCCTTCTCTCTTGGAGCCGAGGGAGGAGGTGGCCAGGTTGGGACCTGTTGTGGGACGTTATGTCCCAAGCAGACCCCTTAGACTCCCTCCAAGAACGCTTGCATACTGTCAGGGTGTGCAGCAGGGGCAGGGCTGGCTCCTGGGGCTGAAGTCACTGAGATGAACAGGTGGCCCAGGCTCAGCCGCAGGCCCACTGCAGGCTTGTGGGAACTGGTGTCTCATTGGGGTCTGTAGGGCTCATAGCACCCAACCTCCCAAAAAAGGATTTGGCTATCTCTAGGGTTCCTGCCCATAAACTGAACTGAGGTTACATAGTTTTAGAAAGATTCAAACATACATCAAAAGGATCATGACCCAAACATCAGGAGACTGGGGTAAGAGAGGGGCTGCCGGAAGTCATTTTTAGGTCAGATCTCTGAGCAGCTGGCTGCAAAACAATAGAAATGAAAACAAGAAACAGTTCCTGATGTCCTCACTCTGCTCCAGGGACCGGGGCCCCAGGAGTTAAGGCCCTGTGTCACTTCCCTGAATCCCTTTCTTCTGGGTGGATAACACCCAACAGAAAAGGGGCTGCCATCTGGGAGGGGAGAAGGGAAGGAGGAAACAAAATCAGACTCCACCACCTCGCCTGTCGTTCCACAGTTAGGGTCCCTTCAGCAGCCCCACCCACCCCCCTGTCGGCTGGGCCACTGGCTATCCCTCCACTGTGCCCAGTGAGCCCCGGCCTCCAGCTGGTAATATTGCACTTTTCCTGCCTCTCGGATTGTTTCCATTTTCAATTGAGAATGCAAAGTATTTGGAGGGGTAGGGAAGTGAGTAACCTTAAAGAAATAATATATTAGTTAAATACAAAAACAGGAAAAATAGGGGTTATTTTATCCTTTTTCCCCCTTAAAAACAAACTACCAAACCAAGGTCTAAACTTTAAATAGTTCTACACCTACTCTGCCAATACTAGTAATATGAAAATAATGCTTGCCTGAAATTCCCTTGTCTTTTTTCCTTAGATGATAAAAGTAGTAACATGCCTTTCTGAGGATAGCAATGGATATAAATGCCAGTAAAATATGCTGCTCTAACATCTGAAAGTGATTAAAATGATTCTATATAATGCCTTCGTCAAGATGGAAAATCGAGAAGGAAGAGAAACCTTTGGGGCCAGGTTGGGGGTGGATGGGGCTGAGGCCTGGCGAGATAGCCTGGCCACAGCCACAGGGCACAGGTAACCCAGGGCATGAGGGACTGTGGCCACTCAGGGTCACCCCTGTCCAGCTCTCTTGCTCCCAGAGGTCCCATGGTCTAGTGGGAACAGTATGGGGGAGCCAGGCCACAAGGCCAGCCTGCTATTATAAAGAGAGACGAGATGGAAGAGATGGACACATTTTTCCCCTTGGAATAAAAGTAAAAGGTCTTTAAAAGAAAAAGCACCAAATGATGCATCTTCGGGCATTATATAAACCTCAATAATGACCTCAGAAGGGCTCATTATGATTAAAGTTGCAGTATACAGCAATACAATGTCATTTCACATTTTCAATTGCAACTAATGGAAAACTAGGTTTGGACACTGCTGAGATTTCATGTTTTCTTTTTCCTTTTTTAGTCCGATCTGGTTTTCTTCCAGATGGGTCAGAACCACAGGCCCCCTCCTCTGCCTGCTGCCAGCAGTACCCTCCAACATCACAAAGCAGCTCAGTAGCTCTAAGGAAAGGCCCTCTTGCCCTGGGTAGGGCTAGGAGTCCAGGGCCACAAGGCCTGGCATCCCCTGGCCATGTCTGAGAAGGACTGGCATGCACCCTTTTTGCTTCAAGTATTAATATTCTCTTTGGGTTTGCAGGATTTGTGCTGTGAGTTGGGGGATGATGATGAGGGGGACGAGGTGTGAAGACTAGGGCATGGGAGTCCTATTCACTGCCCAATATATATGCTGTCACCAGGTGGCACCATTCCCCATTTTTTTCCTGGATGTCTAAACAACTCCCAGCCATCCTTGGGGCTGGACGTCAAAATGTAAACATGATGACCACACACTAAACTATAATGGGAGTGGGGGGAGGAGCACAGGATTAGTGAAGTGAGGAGATCTGCCCTAAACTGGCTGTGTGGTTTTTGAAACATCACTTCCTGTCCTTGCGCTAGCAGGAAGGGATGGGATGGAGGGACCTCCCAGGTCTCTTCTAGTCTTGCCTTTTACTAAGAATGCTGAGGATCAGGGACAGGATTCCTTGGGGGGCCAGAGAGCACGAGTGGCAGTAAAGACAGTGGGGAGGGCAGGAAAGGCAGGCCCTGGAGAGCCCGGTGGTCTAGTCCAACTGAGATGCTCTGTGCTTGGCAGACGTGCTCTGCACGCCCTCTTGGCCTGGCCGGTGCACTAGTGTCTAAACTGGCTCAGTGCAGGCATCTGAGGAGCGAAGCTGCAGGGCCCTCCTCCTGGAAGTAACTACTACGTGGAAGGTCCTTTATTTAACCGGACAGTTATTCTACTTTTAAATTTTATTTTAAATAATCATAAATTACTTTTTTCTCTTAATAAATATGTGCTGTTTAAAAATGAGAAAAGTATATACTGCATCTTTAAGTAATGCACTTTGCTTTCTGGGTTCTTCCCATTCCACCTCATTTAAAGTGCATTAATTAAAAAATAATGAACCACTTCTTTATCATTATTGTTCAAATAAGTACAAATAATATTAATATGAAGACACTAAACCTCTACGATTAGTACTGCAGTCTAGCAGATTAACTCAATGTTCTGCGCTATTTAATACTGTCCAGCAGAAGAAATTAACTAATTTCAGTTTTAAACAAACCAACAAAAAACAAAACAATCTCACCACGGCCCTTTGACAAAGAACACGAGCAGTTTGCTATAGCTGCCGGGTATCAGTGTACGGAGAGGGCTAAGGGCTGGGGTTGCCCAGGCATGGTCTTGGGTATGGCAGGGTTTTGATGGCACTGAGATGCTGAGTCCCATGCTGACCTGCCTGGGTGGGGAGCAGGGTGAGGGAGGGCCTTTCTCTATAGAAAACACCAACCCTTAGTCCAGGGATTCTGGCAGCTGAATCGGTGGCTGTGAAGCCTGATCTGTCCAAAATCAAAGGCACATGTGGAAATCCACTCCCAGTAAAGGCTGAGTCCTTGGGGAAGCCAGCTGGGCTTCTGCAGGGTCCCCTCTGAAATGCCAGCATTTGAAAAACACAACCCAAAGGTGACAGAGGACCTACAGGTAACTTTATTCTCTTGCTTCTCTCTTCACTTGGGGCCCTGCCCCTTGGGAAGACCAGGGTGGCTCCTGGCATGAGGATCTTCCATCTTCCTGGGCATTGCTGGTATTGCCAGCAGGCCAGAGTGGGCAGCTGATGGTGTTGGCTCCAGTCTGATCCATGGGGCCCAGTTGAGGTCCCCTCAGCCCAGGGGGAGGCAACGGCTGCTTCTCCATAGTTCATACGTGAGGCTGTGGCCCTGCCCAGCTGGGAGAACAGATGCAGGATGGTGGTTACCCAGCAGCCAGGGAGCTGCTTCCTCTCCAAAAGTCTGGCTCTTGAACAATATTCTCCTCTCTCTTGGGGGAAGATCTCTGCACTCCCCTGACAGAGGCTGGATAGGAAGCAGAAGAACAATTTCTCTTCTATGCCTGCGACCTAGGGCTCATATAGCCCCATATCCTCTGGCAAGTGCCATGCTCGGGCACTGTCCACACAGTGGAAACCAAATGAAACTACTTGGGCCTGTTGTGGGGGGAAGAATGTGAAACAAAAACAAAAGCAAAACACCCTCCCACTAGAGTACAACAGAAAAGCCCATCCACAACACTTTCCTTTCCCATATAGGCTGATCAGCCTCCAAACAACTCCTAAACGTAACACCAAAACCAAAGCCAAAGCCCTGACATATAACCAAAGCGTAATAAATTCCCAAAACATGCAAAGGAACTGCCCGCCTAGAAATACCCACAATAGTCTGGGCAGATTATGGACAAACTGATGCCCTCACCCTCGCTATAAACTCTAGTATTGACTGTGTTCTTTGCAGGGTGCCCTGAGGAGGGTGACTCTCTTCTCAGGGCCAGGACAGTGACAGCTGTGAAAGGTGGTCCTTCCAGGGCCCTGGGAACTGCTTCTCTTCAACTAACAGACATTGACAATGGCCTGACTAGGAACAGACTAGAGCTGCTATGAGATACCTCCAAGCCCCAGAGCCAGGGATGTCTTCTAACACAGCCACCTGTGGGGGGCAGTGGCAGTCCTGGGAAAACAGCAGTTCACAAACATAGATTAGGATGATACAGGGCTACATCCCATGCCAAGATGCCAGCAATTCAAACTGGGCCAAGCAGGGGCAGTGTGTCGGAGGCTCTCTCTGACATCTCTTCCAGATTTACAGCAAAGGCACAATTGGGGATTCTCACGTAGCCTGTCCCAAATGGCACATAGTCCATCAGAAAGGTCACCAAGGTACAACCATTGGATTTCAGCTTTCTTAGCTCTGGGTCCCAGGCCTGGGATTCCCTGGCCCTTTGTTCCCTACTCAATGTGGGTCCTCATCATCCCCCACTTCCAGCCTGGAGGGGCATCTCTGAGGTCACACATTTTGCAGGGATTTGTGTCATACAACCCCCACCCCTCCCACCTTTTCCTTCTGTTTTCATATCACTGCTTAGCCAGGGTTAGCTACAGTGGCAAACCGAGGCTGGAAGGACACCATGCTCCCATCAGTTCTTTTTCTCAAGGTAGTTGGAGGGTACCCAGCCCTTGAAGGGCTTCACTCCATCCAGGATCTGGCAATACCACCAGCCGTTGGGGTTCCTCTCCAGAACCTCCATGGATACTCCCTCCTGGAAGCCTGCTGTCTCCTCATCACCCTCATAGTCTGCAATAGAGATGTACACGTCTTTGAGGTTATTGTGGATGAACTGGGACTTCTCGATGGGCTTGGGGCGCACAGGTGACATGGGGATGCCATTACGCTGAGTGGGCAGCAGGGGTGAGTCTGAGCCCTGGCTGGCAGCCCGTTCAGCCAGGCGGCCCTTGGCCTCTGCGGCCGCTGAGCGAGCAGTGCTAAAGGAAGAGTTCCGGCGGACAACACGGAGGCCATCAGTGGCTGTGAGTGACTCATTCCTCCTCAGGGCACAGGACAGGTTGTTGTCCTTGGGTGGTGGGGATACAAACACCGACTGGGGCCTGACTGCCACCTGCCGCACACCATTCCTCATCTTCACGGCTGCGGCACCTGAGGTCTTGCTGAAGCCCCCAGGGGGCTTGGAGGGGATGGGCGGCGTAGCCCTCTTGCTCTGATTGACAGTGTTCAGTGCTTGCACACGCCTCTCCATCTTCTCCAGGCTGTCTGACTTGCCCTCGTTCTGTTTGCTTTTGGTAGTTACTGCATCCAGCTCTTTGCCAGCAGGGTCGGCTCGCTCGCTCTCGTTAAGCACCAAATAGTGGGAGGGGGCCCAGCCCTCCAGCTCCCCAAACCTCACATACCACCACCCACTTTCTAGTTTCTCAAGCACTTGTACCTCTACACCTGCAGGGAAGCTGATCTCCGAGTCCTGGACTTTCTGGTAGGCACTACATGTCATGTAGAAGGTGGCCTGCCCTTCCCCTTCCTTCTTGGTGGGACACAGGGGAGTGGTGGCGGAGGGTGTGATAAGGTCAGCTGAGCCTCTCCTAGGTCCCTCATTGGGACCCTCAGAGGCTGTCTGAGGGGGCAGCTCTGAGTCCTCACTCTTTGAGCCCCTGAGACCTCCCCGGAGCTGGCCTGTGGGCCTCAGTTGGCGCCGTAAAGTGCTGATGTCCATCTTCTCTTGGCTCTGTGACTCAGCCCGGTTCAGGAACGGTTTGGGCCGGACCGATGGCTTGGCCCGGGTACAGGTCAGCCCAGCCTTCACATCAGCATCCTTTTTTGCCCCGACCTTGGGAGTGCCACGGATGCCTGCGTCCGAGGCTGAGCGGGGCTTCAGGTCACCACTGTTCTTAGACAGGGAGGAAGAGGAGGAGGAAGAGGAGCAGGTGGTATTGATGGTGATGGAGGAGGAAAAGGAGGCTGAGGAGTGGTTCTTCCCCAGTTCTGCCTGGGCGTTCTTCTCTGCCTTGAGCTTCAGGAGAGATGACGACTTGGGTGAGCCTGACTTGGGTGAGTTTTTCCTGGCAAGGGACAGAGAAGAGCCCCCTGGGGAGTCGCTGTCCCCAGAGGAGCCCCTGGCTGACAGAGTGTCCTCTGCACATGGCCGGAAGCCCTCGTTTTCATAGATTGTCTCCTCCTCCAGGGCCACATCCTCTGAAGACTCGCCCACTTTGAAGCGGGCCCGCTGCAGTGAGGAGGCGGGTGAGGGTTTGCAGGGCTGGGTGGGCCGTCGGTCCCCTAAGGCTCTGTCTTCTGCCGGCTCCTCGTTCATCTCTGGCTCTGAGTCAAAGCCCAATGCAGGGATGTCATACTCGGGCTCCTCATACTTGAACTTCTGTGGGGAGTCCTGGGTCTCACCAGTACCTGCAGGACCCTCCTCAGCCTCTTTGGGCTTGCTGGGTGGTGCTGGTGGAGGCACCTTGGGTCGGGTCAGTGTGCTCGTGCGGCGGCTCAGGTTGGGCTTCTTGCGTTTATCGATGTATGATGCAGGTGCCCAGCCTTCCTTCTCACCAATCTGCACATACCACCAGCCACCTGAGTTCTTATCGATAACCTAGGGGAAGAAGGCAGACAGGCCAGTGAGTTGGGAGGCTCTCTGATGTCCCAGGCTAGGAGCTTTATACTTTGGTTCTGGGATACGTTGTCCCCATTTTACAGATGAATAAACTGAGTCTCTGCATTAGTGGCTCAAGGTCCAATGTAGTAAGTGAAGGACCAGAATTCAAGCCTAGGTCTGTATCATCTCACAGATTTGAGGTGGGTTCCCACTGTCCAAGTCCCCCTCCCCTGGTTCTCTAAGTCTTTCTCAACACTTGAGTTGAGCTGGTCAACTCTTCCTCCTCCTAAGCTATGGCACTTAGAAGATTTAGCCTCATTTAACAAGTCTTTCTTGTCACCAGTCCCTACAAAATAAAACTCACTAAGGACTCATATGTACGAAAACTTTACCATTCCACTGCTCTCGTCCTCCTTCCACCCCAATATTGCTCAGAAAAGAATGGGAAGGTGCCAGTGAATGGGCTGGGAGGGACAGGTCTAGGGCCAAGGCTTCCCCGCAGGCCACCTCTCCAGAGTCTACTGCTTCTGGAATCCTACTGAAATCCTATTAGATCAAGGTTTCTTTGGGTTGTATGGTTTCCTGTGGGAAGGGTGAGGGGATTTCAGTCATTTCCATGTTATGATAAGGAGCTTCCTCCTTAACTTCTGAGAGTGACAGTACAAAAATTCTGCCATTTATAAGCTTTATAGGCTCTTCTGAAAACCTTATTATTGAGAGAATAATTTCTCTTGGAAATTTAGTTCCAAGTTCTAGATATGTGCTTTAAAAAATTTAGGTTGGGAATGTCACCTATTCATAGGCAGACACTGCCCAATGAATACAACAATTTCATGTGTATTAGTTGGATTTAACTCAATTACTACACAAAACCACTTAGAGAAATGACTGAGTGACAGATTTTCTCTGTCCCCTAGAATACTTTGCTTAACACCAGCCACAAAATCAAGTTGCACAAATACCAGGAGAAAGGCTGGGCAGAAGCACCCCCCAGCCTATTACCCTGTTTTGCAGAAAGAAATACTTAAAGTCAGGGTGTGTGCAGGAGAGAAGTAACTACATCAAACACCGGGGTCTTGGCTCAGTGCCTGTAGCTCAGTGGTTAGGGTGCGGGCCACATAAACCAGGACTAGGGGTTCAAACCTGGCCTCGGCATGCTAAACAACAATGACACTGGGTGACACCCATAGCTCAGTGTGTAGGGTGCCGGCCACATGCACCAGGGCTGGTGGGTTCAAATCCAGCCCCAGCCTGCTCAAAATAAAGAAATAAATAAAAATAAACAATGACAACAACAACAACAAAAAAATAGCCAGACATTGTGGTGGGTGCCAGTAGTCCTAGCTACTTGGGAGGTTGAGGCAAGAGAATTGCTTAAGCCCAAAAGAGTTTGAGGTTGTTGTGAGCTGTGATACCATGGCATTCTACCTGGGGTGACAACTTGAGACTCTATCTCAAAAAACAAACAAACACACATAGCAGGGGTCTTGTTCAGTTGTATAAAACCCATGGGGAAAACAAACAAACACACACCAGGGGTCTTGTGGTGTGGAACTGGCCAGAACCCAGGTCCCCAGTATCTTGCTTCACCTGACTGGACCACATTCTCCCAACAACCCCGCTTCCTAACAAGGGCTCTGCAAGATCCTAGCCCCAGAGGTGCTCCTGGGAGAGGAAGCTTGTGGGGCAGAGGGTCTGGGCAGTACTGCCTATTCTAGGCCTCTCATAGAGCCTCCAAGAGATGTCCTGTATTCTAGGCTCTGAGAAGCCCTGCAGTTGAAACAAAGGGTTGGACTGTGTTTATTTAACCCACAGTCTTCCAAGCTCTTTAGACCACAGGAACCCTTTGTTTCAGGGCACCCCTGCTTGGAGCCCCTGCACGTGCTGGGGAAATGTTGCTGTGAGGGAAGCACTGTAAGCCTGGGCCCAGGCTGTGGCACTGACTAGCTTTATGTAAATGCTCATCTCTGTGGGGCTCATTTCTGTACCCTTCCTGCCTGCCTTTCAGGAACGTTACTAGCAAGACTTAAAATGGGGAATGCAAGACCCTAATGAGGTGAAACTCTCAGCCTCATAGCCCAGGGCTTACCTCTGCCTTTTGTCCACCCCGAAAGCTGATGCCATCAGAAATGCATGACTGGAATTCGGCGATGGTGTAGTACTCCACCTCAACAGAAGGGGGCTCTGGTGGCTTCGGCAGTTGGAATCCCTAGGACAGAGGAGGACAGGGTGAGCAGAACCCACCTGATAGGGAGAGCACACGGCTGAGAGGACGGTGCTGGGTCCTTGGAAGTGTGGATGCCCGTTTACACCAGTTGGACAGCAGCTGGCTTGAGCATGTATTTGCCACCGAAGTCTCAGGATAAGAGTCCCAAGAGACTACTCTCCTGACGAGGCTTTCTAGTTGAGCAATAGCTCTAATCTGAGCTATTAACAAGCTTATTATCAACACCACACTTTCTGTATCTCTGGAGGTCCAGTGTTCAGATGCATCAGTAGCTGGGTCTCAAAAGGAAAATTAAAAAGTAGGCTTGGCACCTGTAGTTCAAGTGGTTAAGGTTCCAGACACATACACCAGAGCTGGCAGGTTAGAATCCAGTTTGGGCCTTCCAAACAACAGTGACAACTACAATCAAAAAATAGCCTGGCACTGTGGTGGGCACTTGTAGTCCCAGCTACTTGGGAGGCTGAGGCAAGAGAATCGCTTAAGCCTAGGAGTTAGAGGTTGCTGTGAGCTGTGATGTTACAGCACTCTACTGAGGGTGACAGTTTGAGGCTCTGTCTCAAAAAAAAAAAAAAAAAAAGAGAGAGAAATCGTTGTGACAAAGCCCTTGCTTGCTGCCCAGTGGGAGAAGAGAGCCACTGTCTTGAATTTAAGGGTGAGTGACTGCAGAAGCAGGGCAATGAAGGGTGACCACCTCTAAGGGTAGGGTGGGAGAGAAAGGGACACTGGGATTGGCTGAGAAGTCTTTGATTGGTCATTATGACAATGCCAAAGAGGCAATCACTGGATAAATCTCTGGATCCTGTCTATGTGGGCAGGACAAAGCTCACTAGGGGTCTTTGTATGCTTCGCAGTGGGACACTCAAGGCCATTCAGAAGTCAGCCTCATTTAACAAGTCTTTCTTGTGCAAATGCTGGACACAGGCACTGGGCATCCGCTAGCAGATGAAATGGAGTCCCTCATGTGGACTGTACACTCTAGCCTCAACCGGTCTTGTCTCTTCTTCAGCTAAAATGAACTGTGCTTCCCTATTTCTGTTCTCCCTCCTACAAAGGGACTGAAAGAAAACAACTTAAAAAAAAAAAAAGGTGGGCAGGATGAGGGAGGGGAAGAAACTGCAGTGCCCCAGGAAGCCCTGGGAAGACTTCACCTTGAAGCTGGACTCCTCGACGATCTAACACCAGCTGTGAAATGGGACTGGTATCAGGGTCACAGAGAGACCCTGAGTCCATAACTCTGGCCCAGCAGAGGGAGAGCAAGGGCTCTACACTCCTCTTGAAGCTCTCCATCCTCCCAACATTCTTCATCCTTCTAGGCTCATCACTTCCTAGGACCGCCAGTCTCCACCAGGCTGCCTGGGGTCCAAGTGAGCAAGGGGTGCAGGAAGCTGCTTTGGAGGGACCAGGTGTGAACCAGTCAGCATCCCCTGCCACCAGCCAGGTGGGACTCAGCCAGGCCTAACTGGAAACAGCAGCTCTGCCTCAGCAATCCCTACATTTTGTAAGTGTGGAAGGAATTACCCTATTCTTGCCAAAATCAAGTCTGCCTGAAACTAATTAGTTGGGGCTAAAAGAAGTGGGAGGAAAGGAGAATTCATTGTTCAGCTGTGTAAAACCCATGGGGAAAGAGAGAAATTCCACTGGGGCTGATGGCCAGGATAAAAAAAGATCCTATTTCCAGGGACCAAATCTTCAGGAGTCCTCTATTTACGGAGGGCCTGCTCTTCCACAACTGACACCCCAGTCTCCAGGGCGGATGTCACTGATCACAGAAACTCTTGCTGCTAAGCCCAGATGTGACTTCAGGGTGTTTCTCAACACCATACCCCAGGTAGTACTAATAAACAGTCAAGAGTCAACAGAGAAATGGATACCTGTTTGCCCGCCCTTTACATACATCATCTCATTTCATCCTTATAGCACCCCAAGAGACGGCTAGTACTGCCCCACCTCATAGATAAGGAAACCAAGGAGGTGTGTGACTTGCCTAGAGTCTCTCTGTTTCGAAGTATCAGAGTAGCATGTGAATCCATGCCTGGCAGCCTGAAGCCCCAATCTTTCCCTGCATCTTACTGCCCCTGATAACAGTTTTTTATTCTAGGGCTCTCTGCTTGCCACTAGCACTGCTGCCATCCCAAACCCTAGCCTGATAGCACATGTGTCCGTCTAAGGGTCTGGACACTAGAAAGTCTCACCCATAGGAGCCAGGGACCTAAGCAGCGTTAACTCTCTTTTAAGCTTTAGTATGAGCCAGTCCTTGCAATTCACCCCATCCTCAGAGGATGCTCACTGGTCTGCCCTCTACCCTCCCAGGCTCTGGCATCCCACACATTACTGGGCATTCCCCAGCAAGGAGAAGCTGAAAGCCTTCCAGGCTAACATGCACAGCAGCCTCATAACCAGCTGCTGGCAATGCCCTGGCTGGACACTCTTGCTGGCCAGTCTAAATGTTTATGTCTGCCAGTGCAGTGGCGGATGGATTTATTTAGCTTTTTGAGTGCAGCGCATTTTTGATTATAAACTGTCCAGCAAGGCCCCCAGGAAGCCTGGGATCTGTGGGCTTCCCTGCTTGCCCTCAGCCTCACAAAGCTGGAAGGCCCCGGAAGACCTTCGGACCAGCAGGCTTTGCAGCAGAACGGCCAGTTAATCGGGGCTGCTACAGTGCATCCCCGGAAAGGAGATTAAAAAGGGAGAAGAAATGTAGCACACATACCAGGCTGGATTCTCTGCGTGGTGGAGGCCTTGTCCTTAGGTTTGGAGAGCCTAGAAGAAGAGATACGGCTTCAGAACCCCCAGTCATGTAATGGGCAACAGGGCCTCTGTCTGCCTTCCCTATGTGCAACCAACTCCTGATCCTTGCAATTTCATGCTTTGGCTCGGCATCTATGAAGGACCTGAGGCTCTGAGTCACTATAATTGGGCTTTTTCAAGAAGATACTACAGACCTTTAAGCTACCCTAGGTGTGCTTCAGGAGATCCATGAAACATCTAAAAATCACAAGCACACTTCAAAATGTACAGATATATGGGTATTTTTCAGGGGAGAGGGCTTATAGATGGATCAGATTTTCAAAGTTAGCAGAGACGTGTCTATTTTTTGCTCACTACTAAATCCTCACAAGCTAGCACAATGCCAGGCAAGAGGAAGTGCCCAATAAATGATTCCCAACTGGTTGCCTAAAAGGTTTCAGGCGTGAGAACTTAACCAAGTTCAGAGTTAAACTAAAAAACAGCTTTCGTCTGGATTTTAAGAATTGCTGGACACAACAGAAGCTGGGCTCCCACAATATAGAACAGTTTAACCCTCAAGCAAAGGCACTGCTGGACCAGAGATGGAGAGGAGGGTGCCAGCCAGTGTAGTCTTCAAGAATGCTCTGTTGAAAATGCTTGTGCAGAATGGGAAAGCCTCTGCCACCATGCCTTTAGATTTCCAGCAACTGGTGGGAGGTATAGGGAAGGAAGGGTAAGGCCCAGAAGCTGTTCCTCTCCAGGCTGTCAGTCCCCTGCATATAGAGCCCACATGTAACAGCCTGGAAAAATGGGGTGTGTGTTTTATCTTTTTGAGGCAGTCTCGGCTGCCCAGACTAGAGTGCCATGGCATCAGCCTAGCTCACAGCAACCTCAAACTCTTAGGTTCAAACTATCCTCTTGCCTCAGCCTCCTGAAGAGATGGAATTACAGGTACCCACCACAGCACCTGGCTAAATTTTCTTTTTTTTTGAGACAGAGCCTCAAGCTGTTGCCCTGGGTAGAGTGCCATGGCATCACAGCTCACAACCTCCAACTCCTGAGCTTAGCGATTCTCTTGCCTCAGCCTCCTATGTTGCTGGAACTACAGGCGCCTGCCACAACATCTGGCTATTTTTTGGTTATAGTTGTCATTGTTGTTTGGCAGGCCTGGGGTGGATTCGAACCTGCCAGCTCCGGTGTATGTGGCTGGTGCCCTAGCCTCTTTGAGCTACAGTTGCTGAGCCTAATTTTTTCTATTTTTAGCAGAAGATGAGGTCTGATGCTTCCTCAGTCTGGTTTCAAACTCCTGAGCTCAAGTAATCCTCCCTCCTTGGCCTCCAGAGTGCCAGGATTACAGATGTGAGCCACTGTGCACCCAGCCTACATTTGTGTGTGTGATTTTTAAATGAACTACCCCTCATCTATCTTGGTTTATAAAGCCTCTGCTATAAGAAAAGGAAATGCTGGGTGGCGCCTGTGGCTCAAAGGAGTAGGACATGGGTCCCATATACCGGAGGTGGTGGGTTCAAACCCAGCCCTGGCCAAAAATTGCAAAAAGAAAAAAATGCTTCTTGGTCTTAGAATATATCGATTGTGGACAACTGTTCCTGGCTGCCCACTAGAGTAGGAAGCACCACCAGCTCTCACACTCCTGTACTCTACCTTCAGTGGAGCGGCTGGGCAGGACTGAGTCCTATTCCCTGCCTTTTCTACTCTGTGATGAGCATGATACAAGCTGACAGAGGGTCAAAGGGTTTTGCTTCCTGCAGCTCAGGAAGCAAAATGCTATAAGGGTCCTGCATACCCATCTGGCTTGCCTTGCAACCCATGCCCACTGTGTAAGGAGCTTTGCAGTGAGGGCCCAGAGGGCAGTGAGGCTCTTACTGATCTGGGCCCTCTGAGGGGCAATCCTGGCTATAGCTGGAGATCCCTGAGCCAGCTTAGAGACGGTCCTCTCGGGGACACCCAGGGCGCTGCCGTTGGAGGCATTGCAGAGGATGGGTAAGCTGATCTCCTTCTTGGCAATGGGGGCCTCGGGGCCCTCCCCTTCAGCTGGTGGAGTCTCCTTGTCTCCAGATGCCTTCTTGTTCAGCAGGTTGCTGATCTCCATGATGTTCCCAATGATCTCCACAGGGCCTGCCAGGTTCTTCTTCCGGGCTGGCAGGTCATCTTTGGCCTTCTTCAGGTAGGACGCTGGGGCCCAGCCCTCTTTGCCCAGGTATCTGTGGGAGGAGTGTGCATGCCATCACTAAAGCACTGATGCCTGGTCTCTTGCCCCACTGCTAGCCCCTTGTCTCCACCTGGCCTTGCCCAGTGGAGCCTTCGTGACCATGTTCTACAAAAGACTTGGCAATCCCACAGCTCTAGAGGGAACTGGAAGTGAGGGGGTCTGGAAAAGACACCAGGACATCACTTCCCCTCTACCTTCTTTTTCTTTGCCTGGTCCCTCCTGGTGTCAGCTCTCACTCTGCAAAGTCAGGCAAATGTGGGGTCTTGAGATGAGATTTCTCAAATTGTGGGTTGCCCAAAGGTAGACTTCACAATGGCCTGCTACCTTACAACCAGTTGAGAATAATTCTGGAAATAAGAAATGTGAATGCAGTATACAGAGTTAAATTCTCTATAGAAAGGGAAGGATTACCAGATTACCTCTTACTGCAGGTAAGAGTCAGATAGCCTCCACTCCAGTCTCTGGTACCTCAGACAAGTCCCTTCCCTAGACCTTAATTTTTTCTCTTCTGCAAGATGCAGGGATAGAGTAGCTGCTAAAATGTATCCAAAAGAACAGACACACTGAGACCAACTGACAAGATGTCCCTAAAGAAGGCTAACTGTATAGGGAAGGGTTGGTTACTACAAGCACAGCAGGCAGACCGAGCACATGGGATCCACAAACAGGCTACAGGTGACATTTCAGGTCAGTGGAGCAAGGATGTGTTATGCACTAAGTGATCTGGGGACAACTGATCATCCAGTTGATGATCTCCAGTAAGTGAGACCCTGGCCTCACACCATACAGCAAAATACAAAAATAAAAGATTTACATACTTGTAGGGGTTGGGCAAGTCTTTTTAAGTGGGACTCCAAAAGCAGAAACCTTAAATGAAAAGACTAAAGCACATGACTGGATAAAATTAAAGCCATTGGTATGGTAAAACAAAACCCAAAAGAAACAAAAACCCAAAGTGCATAAACAAAAGCAAAAGGCAAATGATAGGGCTGACTTAATTTCTGATGATTCAATGACTTCTTAAAACAAGCTTTTCCTTTTTCCTGCATGGTGTTGAGCTTTCACCAAAACCCAGTGGGAGCTCACTTTCTGGTCCAGTAGTCCCTGGCCAATGCCCCCAGTCTGGGTTGCAGTGTCCCCATCTGCTCTCTGGGACACATCTGGCACTTTGGAATGGCTCTGCCATGCCAGATGTCTGAAAACCTCATCGTCTCCCTGATGTGACCTGGTTCTTGGGCACTCATTAGGTGGGAGAAGAGGAACATGGAACCTGAAGTTCCTATTGATATGTCTGAGCTTTGCTAGAAAGCTTAGGTAGGAGGTGGTTTTCTTCATTCATGTCACAGGAACATGTAGGGAGGTTGTCCCAAGCTCACCTGCCTGGGCCTTGGAAGGATATGAATGGATGAATGGATGAAAGTCAGGGCCTGTCTTGGCTCCCTCATGTAATGGGTACAAATGGAAGCACAGAATTAAGGGTGGATGGGACCCTAATCTTCATGGAAGCCCACAGCCAAAGCTCAGAAAAGGTAAGTACATGGCAGTAGCACCTGGCCCAGAGCCTGTTTTTTTGCATCTTGAAGAAAAGATAACGAACTCACTGGCCCTTGCTGGCCTATGTGAATACTGCTGAGTAAGGAGAGAGGCGTCTTCTGGAGGTGACACTCAGGCTTTCCCAGTGTTCCCATCCCAGAGCCCTTTGTGTTTCTTCAGTGTTACATGGATAAAATTAGATTTCAGGCAGAGAAATGGAAGGGAATCAGGAGTGGCTGTGTGTGTCTGGGTCCAACTCTGCTCACATCTGCTTTCCAGCTCTAGAGCATGGAATGACTCCAGAGGGAAGCAAAGTGGAAAGAGAGGGATGGGGAGAACACAAGGATGTGTGTGAGTGTGTGTGTATGCTTGTGCATGCGTATATGTCTACAGGGGTGGAGGGAGAAGGCAGGCAGGAAATGAAGATCAACACAGAGCCTGGAATGTTGGGAAATGGCACATTTAAGGGGGTATATCTGGCAGCCCTCTTAAGGTGGAACCTTGTCAGCAGGGTTTACTTAGTCCCAGCTCCGTGGGCATGTGGGTTGAGTAGAAGCAATGTCAGAGTGACAGTTTTAGAAAACTAAAAAATAAAGTAAAATAGAGCAGCCTTGTAGATAACTTCTAGGCAAGTGAATTAGGATCCTAGCCTGTTGGAATGTTCACTGGCTTTTTGATGTCAGACTTGTGGTTGGTGGATTTTGGGGATGGCTATAGTTCCTGCTGCTTAGAAAACATAAAAGTCTAGGGAAATGGCTTTGGGCAACATGGGTACACAGCCCCAATCCACCCAACAGGACAGAAAGGGACATCTCAGCCATCCTGGCTGGGGTGGAACTATGTCCCACTGGGTAACACACAGGTACAACTTTCATATACCCAGTGACCTTTATCCTGTCCCTAGCACAGACTGACTTTTAATACCATCACATTTTACCATGCTCTCTCTGGGTGACTATGCCCTAAAATGCTTGTCACCTCAGTCACAGGGGCAGGGGCACCATGGCACAGTTCTGTCCCCTCCATGGGAGACAACTCAGAACACACACCCTGCTCACTGTGGGCTGGAGCTCCTAGGTGTGGTGGCTGAGGCAGTGGTCTCCTGAGCCCACAGAGTTGGGAATGTTTGTCAGCTGGGTTATAGGCAGAGGAGAAGGTGGGCAAAGCCACTGCAGCCCAGCCAGCCTTGAAGGCACTGGGGCACTTCCTGAGAGCAAGTCCTCTGGAGGGCCAGTCTTAGCCAGTTAATGGTGAGCCAAGCCCACAGGGTTCAGTTTGCTTCCAGAGGGTCAGGAAATCTCTCCGCTCCCCTGCATACACCCCCAAATGAGTTTTCCAGCTGGGAAGTGTTATTAGGCCCTGGAAGAAAGATGGGCAGGAGGAGGAGGTGGCCCCTAATGGCCTGAGCTACAGCCTCACTCCTGCCCCACCTTGCAGCCAGCCCTACAGAATGGACAGATGGCCCCATCCACCAGGGACAGGCAGTCAGGGGCCTGCCTCAGAGCAGAGTGCTGAGCCTGGGCAGCAGATGCTGCCTGCTGGGACCTCAATGAGGCCTATGGACGCCAGCACTCCTGGCGGCCCAAGTTGCAAAGCAGGCCAGGCAGCCAAGGCCGGACACAGAAAACCAAATTCAGATGTGCTGAGCTCTCTTGGCACATGCGTGAGAAGGGATTGCACCACAGCCTGCTCCAGCTCTGCTTTACATGTCCTGGGAGAGCATCTGCAAGATGCACACGCTGGCTGAGTAGCTCAGCTGTGCAGAGCCAGCCCTGTGTCCTGGGTGCACAGCTGCTGTCAGTATCTACCTGCTGTCATGTGGCCATGGCCACCCTGCACCCTGCACAGGGTGTGGAAAGCGGGGAAGGCCCAGGTGGGAGAGAGGCCTCTCACGTTTCTGCCGGCAGTCCTACCTGATGTACCACCAGCCCTCCAAGTTCTTCCGGATCACCTCCACGGTGACCCCCTTCTCAAAGCCAATTTCGTCCTTGCTTTGGCTGGTATATGGCTGCACAGTGACATATTTCTCCTCTGTGGGTGGGTGAATAGAAGCAAGAAAGCAAGGTTATATGAGGCCTGGTTGGAGGTCTTGCCTCCTTCCTGCACCTTCCTTTTCCCCTGGCCTTGCTTGGCTGCCTGCCAGGGAGCACTGGCTCAGTCTGGCTTCTCCAGGACCAGGCCTCAGAGTCACCGCTGCCCCCAAGTGTGCCAAACTCAGCCAGGACCCAAGTTGCCTAGAAGATCCTAGGAAGCATGGAGTAGGCAATCCCAGCCAAGTAACAGCAGCCAGGCTGCTGGGACCTGGAGTCCGGAGAGCCCAGAGGGCCCAGAAGCTCACTGGGCTGAGGACAGGAGGAGAGATACACTCCTGGGGAGGGGTCCAAGTTGGAAAGTCTGAAACCAATGCTGGGTGCCTGTCCCCTGGACACCTTGAGGCCCCATGGCATGTACCTTCTCAGATGGCGCCATGCTTCCATCTGGGTTCCAGAGGCACTCTCCGAGCCCTGTCCCCACCTTAACCTCTTAAGTTCTTCCTCTGCCTGACCTCCAGAGGCTCTAGGGACACCTTCTTGGTGACACTCTTGACATCCTGGCCCACCATTGATAGCTGATCATGTAATTTCATGATCCATATGCTTTCAGGTAAGGGTCCCATAGCCAATGTGTGTGGAAACGCCAAGTGCAGCACAACCAGGCAGGATCCTATGGGTCCTTCACTGGGCTGGCGTGTCCAGGTACCTCCCAGAAGGTGTGTGCTGACCCAGTTGTTCAGTTACTCATAGCTCCTGTCGGGCACTATCTGCTCTGTTCTCATAGATGTGACTTCAAGGTCTTGTTCAAAGTTTTCCCAAGGCACTAGGAAAGAGGCACCTTGTGGAATATCAGGAAGAGCTTGGAAAGGCAGGTGTGGGGAGCCTAGGGCCTCATGGCGTCTCCCCTGGTTTCCTCCAGCCTTCCTACTGGCAGGAGGTGCCCTGATGCCTCCGACCCAGGTTCATGATCAGGCTTCCAGGGAGGTCATTTCTTCTGTATCTGGTGGGATTCAGCTATATCTGTCCTAGGAAGCCCCTGACAGAAACACCCAGGGCAAGGTACTTCCTGGTTCTGCCCATAGCTAGCTGGCCAAAGATCCTTGCTTCCTGGGTGAGGCCTTCCCTAGTGGGCAGACAGCATGGAATACTTCTCCCTCACCCTCTGGGAGAATGAGGAGCAGAGATAGAGGGGAAAGAACAGGAAATCTGGCCATGCCCTTTGGGAAGGTCACCGGAACCTGTGCTGTCCTCTCTGGCCCAGGGAGACATTAGGAGTAAGAGACTGTTGACTGTATGATGAAGTGGAAGGTGGGGCCAAGCAAGGCTAGCTTGAGTAGGAAGCTTCTTGGGAGTGTATGAATGCAGGGTGTTGATGCACATCACCAGCCTCTTGAGACCCTGTTCCCTGGTTTCCAGCTATGCAAACCATTCCCTGGGCCCCTGCCAGAGAGCAATCTCTTCACTCTCCCCTGGATCATCAGGGTTCTGCCTACAGGCCTGTGCTGAGGCAGAAGCTCCTTTTTGGGGGTGGGGGAATGCAGCTGCCCTGCTAGGCTTGGTTACGAGGATGGAACTGACAGGATACTGGCTGAATGTGAAGGCTCCCAGAAAGCAAAGATGGGTGATGGCCGTGGGAGCCTGCAAAATTCTTCAGCATGCTCCTGCACTGCAGACCTTTGCCAGCATTGACTCAAGGAGGGCCATGCTCCTGGAGGCTTGTAGATTCCAATCCAGCCATGCTGAGCACTGCTGCCAAAGCTGCCTGTGAACTTAGCCCAGCCACATTCTGACTTGGGCCTTTGAGAAGTTCAGGGCTCTACAGTCCAACCTTCTGCTCCACTGCCTGCTGCTGGGCCTGCTCCATTTTCTAGTGGGGCACGGTAAATCCTGGCCTAGGCAGTGGCCAGAAGGGCAGTGCCAGACCGCGGGAATCCAGGGCTCTGAGGTTAGGGTGAGGTGAGGATTGGGCTCCACATTTTGCTTTTGTTCAGCTGGGCTATTTTTAAAAGTCTGTGGTTCGAGCAGGAAGGCATCATTAAAGTTTTCCTAGGCAAGGTTGCATTTGCAGAGTAAAATGACAGCCTTCTTTGTGGGAAGAGTAGAGGAGCCCTGCCCTACCTCATAGGAGAGAACAGAGCCTGGAGACCATGTCATGTGGGCTCAGCCTTCTTAAGCTACCAGGCCGCAGCCTCTGCAACCTCCCCGGGTGTGTGCGGAAGACATAGTCCCTCAGGCACGTAAGCGCCTGCTTTCTTCTGACCAGTTGGGGCAGGGGTGCAGAACCAAAGGTATCAAGGTATCAGTTCTAGCCAGGGATGTTGAGCTGCTCCTGCAAAAGGCCCTGTTCTTGGGGGCCTTTGGGCTATGGCAGCCACAGGCGTCCAGATCACGTGCTCCTGTAAGATCTCTTGCCAGCTGGGAGGCATGTCCTGCCCTAGCCACTGTGCTGTATCTAGGGGATGTGAGTTCAGAGCCCTAGCCCAGGTGCTGTTTTCTGCTCTAGTCAGCCCAGGTGACAGCAGTTTGGACCACCTCCATGTGGACATGTGCCAGATGTGTCTCAGGCTTCCCTACTCATAGGTGTCCCAAGGGAGAAGCAGAGCCGGAGCTTCTACTCAACAGGGCCACAAACTCCCTCGGGGGTTCCAGCTGAGGGAATGCCTGGGCACGTGCTTGTGTGGTTATGGAGAAAGAAATGGCCTCAGTGGGTGGCTCAGTCATCCAGCTTAGTCAGTGTCTCTGAAAGAGCAGTCCCTTAGGAAATGGAGTGGAGGGATGGGAGGCTGTGAGCTCTGGTCCCCGGGAAGCACCGAGGCCATGGGCACTGACCATGCCACCAAGAGAAGAGATGAGGGCTGGCTGGACAGTTGGCTGTGTGGGTGGGTTGGAGGTGGACAGGTCTGTTTTGGTTTTGGAGGCAGGGGCTGGATGTCCCAAAGTTTCCAAACCACAGAAGCCTCTGCATTCCCAACACTTTCCCCTCTGTCAGCAGTCTCCCTGGCTCCACTCCTGCCCCCCACAACTCACCCAGTGCCACTCAGAGAGGGCCTTTGGTTCCAAGGGCCTGGCTGGCTGAGAGATGGGAGTGGAGGCCATGGGAAGGCTCTGCTGTCCTCTTATCTGGTTAACTGGTGACCCACTGCCAGACCTGCCTGCCAACAGCCCTGCTGTGCGTAGCAAGCGTCTTCCAGCCATCTCTCTGCAAGTTTTTCTTGGCTGCCTGGTTTAATGTAACTCACAGGGTGAAGGCTGGGAAATTATGTTGTTTAGTCCTCTCCTTTGAGAGAAGGAGTGAGAGGTTGTGGGCTTTAGTTTGCTCACGTGAGGGTGATGGCAGAGTTATGCATTTAGTTGGCTATTTGTGTCTATATGTATCATCAAACAATATGCTCCTATATACTCGGTGAGTGTGAATACGCTACGTGTGCATACGGTACCAGGGGCTGTGTGTGGGAAGCTCTCTGTGTACCTGTGTGGTGCTGTACAGGTCTGTAAGATGTGACCATGAGCAGTGTGCTATATCATGCGTTTGTGACTGTGAACAACATACACATGGCAGGGTAGACATGAGGCATCATAGTCACCTTTGAAATACTCTCCTTGGCCATATGGTTATTATAGTGATATTCCGCAATGAGGTAGGGAGTACTTTTTCTAGGACAAGTTCACAGACTTGTCAGACCTCGTACAACAACGGCTCTGATGGCCATTCTAGGAAAAGGAGTTCCAATATTGCTTTAAAGGGTGGAGTAGGTGCTGGTCTCCGTGCATAGCTTCCCAAGGGGAGTACTTCAGGCGACTTGCAGCGATAGTCAGCAGTGAGGAATGTAGCACTATTTCTAGTGAACTCAGTCGTCTGATCTTATGTATGTACATCTGTGAGTGGCTGAGTGCACAGGATGGGGGTTCGGATGCGATAGGGTACTGTACCCAGTGGCCAGTAAGGCTGTATGTGGTGGCAGCACTTTACCAGCTACATGTATCTGCGTGGTTGTGGAGACAGATTCGTGTTTGGGGCCCAGAATGTGAGGGTGTTTGGAGCAGGCCAGACCTTTTTCCCTGCTTCCAGACCCACATCCTGCTCTCCTTGGTGGAGAAGGCCTGGGCTGCATCCCAGGCCAGCCCCCCACCGGCCACCCTCCTAGCTTTGGAGTGCCCTTTGCTCTACCTGCAGCCCATTCTTGCTGTTTCTACAACTTGGCCTCTGCTCTGTGTCAGCCCCCAGGGTCCTGCCCAGGGCTCTGTGCCCACTGTTGAGTCAGCTATAGGCTATGGTTCCCCAAGAGTCCAGGGTTTCTGCTGTCCTGGGCCTGGGGCAGACCCCAAAACATGCTCTGTCATTTAGAAACAAGTTGTGCGTATTGGGAGGTGTGTGTGGCAGTCACAGCGTATCCCTGTGTTCCAGAAAGGCCAGTTTAGCACACTCTCTGATTGGGAGTGGGGAGCACCTTTCTGGCTGTGTTGTCCCCATGAAAAGTGCCCTGCTCTCAGAGGGGCAGGAGCAACTGGCTCCCTGCTGGCCAAGGGGGTCTTTAGGGGTTTGTTCAGAACCCTACTCTCCCTTAACGCCCAAGTTCTTGCTTGTCAAAAAGCCTCGGCATCTGTTGCACAGTGATTACGGACGCCAGCCACATGCACCAAGGCTGGCATGTTCAAGCCAGGCCTAGGCTAGTTAAACAACAATGATAACTGCAACAACAACAACAAAATAGGGAGGCTGAGGCAAGAGAATCACTTAAGCCCAAGAGTTGGAAGTTTCTGTGAGCTGTGATGCCATGGCACTCTACTCAGGGCGACATAGTGAGACTGTCTCAAAAAAAAAAAAAAAAAACCAAAAAACCAACAAACAAAAAAGTCCCTGGGCTGGAAGGCTCTGTATCTGCACACCTCAGCCTCGTGATGAGCCCATGAGCTACCTTGAAGGAGTACTGTAGGCTGGTCCTTCTCCGTACTCTGTTCTCAAGTAACTAGGAAAATCAGCTTAGGCCCAGGAAGCCCTTCTCAGAGGAAGGAGATGATTAAGCAGCGGGCACAGGAAGGCCCAAACGGCAATATAGACGAGTGAAGTGCCCATAAGGCCAAATGCAGCCTCCCTGGGAGACCCAGAGATACCCTCTAGTGTCCTCCTTCAAGTTCCTCTTTCTTTATGGGAGGACCCATACTCATGTCCCCTACCCCAGGATGTTGACAAAAGTCAGAGCCACCACCAATCCCACCCCAATTCCCAAGCAACCCCCAGCAAGCTGTAGTGAGAGAAAAGCCTGGCCCATGAATCTGGGTGAGTCAGGAGGCTCCGGGGCAGAAAGCAGAGCCCAGGAGGAGAAATGTTAGTGAGAGACAAGTATAAGCTGCGAGGAAAGGAGAAGCCAGCTCCCTCGGTCACCTCGGCTGTGCTGCCTGTTGACCATCCCGCCCAGGGTCCACCGGCGATCCAGGCGCCGCAGATGGGCCTTGCGTCTCTTGGAAACTGGTGTGGGAGATGGTGATGGAGCACGTGGCCGACAGGAACCGGCAGAGAGAATGGAGATGAGGATGAGATGGGGGAGGGGAAGAGGGAGGGGATGGAGGGAGGAGAGGTCCACACTCCCAGGTCACCATCACCTGGACTGAGCTGAAGGGAACACTCCTGCTGGATGGGAGCAGAGATGACAGGTGACATTGTTGACACACAGGAAAAAATTCAACCAAGGCCAAACCCCTCAGCTTATGTCGAGCCTTGGAGTGGGCGAAAACGTTTACAACCCCAGCACCTTAGAAACTGGGTCTCTAGCTCCAGGCCAGTGCAAGGCAGACCTCACGCTGCAGCCCCCAGGGATGTAAAGATTATTGGATCGTGCTGATTCCTAGGAGGGTTTGGGGTTCCACAGTGCTACACTGAGGTAGCATTTGGAGTTCCACAATGCTCACTCATTCACTGAGCACTGTGAACTTGCCACCTGGGGCCAGGCACCATGTGTGCAAGTGTTAAGTGTGCCCAGGAGAGATGAGACTTGGGTCCCTTCCTCAGGGGCTAATAGCTCCAACCACTCTGGGCTAGTTTGCAATTTTGCTTCTCACTCGTCCCGACTGGAGGAGTTTGTTGAGGGCAAGGACTTTGCCTTGTGTCTCTGCATTCTCAGGAAATGCTTGCTGAGTGAAATGCGCACATGGATGGATGGCACAGGCCCAGCTCTGTGCCTTCTCTCATATCACCATCGGGGTTTCTGAGGACAAGGGCCTGCTCCCTAGCTTTTCGCTGGGCAGCATTCTGTGCTGGTTCCAGGGTTGCTGTGGTCTAGCTCAAAATCCCCATGTTCCCTTCTGCTCAGGCCCCAGCTCCAAATGCCCTTGTTTTCCTATGGAACCCCAAGATGGAAGGGACAGGGGACTAGGGATCCAGGGTGCCAGCTCACTCCACCTCCTGGCACTGCAGGAGAAAGGTACCGGGCTGCCCAGGTCTGGGGGTGGGGATGGGGTGGAGGGAGGTTGGTGGTTATGAGGGACACACCTGGGCCAAATCCCACCAAGGCCTTTTGGAAAGCATCTGTGCTCCTGGAAGCCTGTGCTCTGATCTGCCTTTTACAAGGTTCCAGCCCAGGACCCACTTCCAGCAACCTGGGTCACCCTGGGATGCCTGCTGACCCTCTCTTAAGCCTCTTTCCTCATCTGTCTCAGGGCGACACCATCTGCCTTTGTGCAAGCCAAGATGAGGGGTGGAAGGGCTCTGAAGAATGTCAACCAGACCCTGTGCAAGGCCTCCTGGGTGGGGTGGGGGTGCCAGGCTTCTCTGTAGAAGAGAGGGGCTTAAGCTAATGCCCAGACCGGGGGCCATGTTCATGATGAGTAACACATACTCGCTGTGTGCCAGGCTTGGTTTAAGCCACCACAAGGAGAGCCTCACAAAAGTCCTATGTGGTTGGCAGTGGCCCATCTCACAAGTTATGTGTTTAGAGCACGAGAGGGCTCCTTAATGACTATGCCTCTATTTCCCACAGTGGTGAGCTGGGACAATGGAGGCTAACTGGGGACCCAACTTTAGGAGAACGAGCACATAACTAAGCCTCTAAGGCAGTTTGGCTCTGTAGTCCAGACTCTTACCCATGGACTCTCCCTGACACTGGTCCCAGCAGACTGTCAATAGCAGGGAGGGCTACGGAGTGGGGAGGAGTCTGGGTGCTGGGGAGCCTGCTCATGAGAGGGCAGGTCTGCGCTTGGTGTAACAGCCCTGGAGGCCAACCAGTGGGCTATTCCCATGTGTCCCAACACAAACCCACTGGGGAGAAAGACAGGTCCTTGTCAGCAGAGACCTGGGTTCTTGTCTTGACTCCGCCACAAACTAACCTAAAGGCCCAGCAGAGGTGACCTCACCCAGCCTTAGTTTCCTCACCTCTGACAGGCTATGGATCTAAAGCATCTTGAGAATGTCGCGCTTGGACACTCAGCACTGTCAGTGGCCAAGAGGGTCTCCACCCCTCCTGCTCACATTGCTGACCTCCACATAGCACACCTGGCTTCAGGAGACAGACATACACAGAGTGTCCGAGAATAAAAACAAACCAGAACCTTAGCCCAGGCCTGGTGACTATTCCTACAGTCTCTGCTACTTGGGAGGCTGAGGCAGGACCATCACTTGAGCCCAGGAATTTGAGGCTGTAATGAGCTATGATGATGCCACTGCATCTAGCCCAGGCAACAGAGCGAGACCCTGCTTCAAAGAATAGAACAACAGATTGTTTCTTTTATTTCCAAAGTAATGAAGGATGAGCTGTTAAGGGAACTTTGATAGGACACAGGCTTCCAACTTCTGTCTCCAGGGCTCAGGGGACTTACGATGGGAGAGCCACAGGGCTGGAGTAGAGAAGGGCAAAGAGGGAACCAGGGTGGGTTACTCCCTTGGCCACATGGCTGCGGGTACAGATAGGTAGATATACCAGAGTAGCTGGGGTCGTAGGCCCAGGGGACCCAGTCATGAGGCCTTTGGTAGATCTGGGTGGAAAATGCCCAAGATGTAAAGATGGAACCCATAGTGGTCCAAGAGTTGCTGGGGGTACTGGCATATTAGTCCTCTCAGAGGCATGCAGAGGAACCTGTTCATATGCAGGTCACCCTGGCATGCACGTGCATGTGCGTGCACACACACACACACACACACACACTTCTGAGAGCAGAAACTGAGGCCTCTGCCTTGCTTGTTTGTACTTTATCTAAGTCAAGACCTGTTGCAACCTGCTGCCACTTGTTCTGTGCAAAGCACATGCTCTCTGCTCTAACCAGGCTGGCATTTGTGCTCCATGTCTCTCAGGTTCTTTCCTGCCCTGGACTTCTGCCCACTCAGTGTCCAGGTCCTCTGCATCTGCCCAGCATCTCTGCTCTGATCTTCCTGATGCAGACTTTTCAGGACGTTGTGATTCCCCCCATACACTCCCCTAGGATGGAGCTCAGAGTGGCCTTTACTCCGTACAGGCAAAATGCTTCATGGAGAGGCATGTGGCACAGTATGGAGGCTAACTGGGGCCACAACTTTAGGAGGACAAGCACATAACTAAGCATACTGAAGGCTCAGTCCCCACAGCTGTTGAAAGGGGGATAACAGCATCCTCCTAGGGCAGGGCAGTACACCTGGTGCTATATGAGCTGTGTGAGCTGCTGTTTCTGTGGGGCCCTGGCATGCCCTACAGGACACAGAGCTGGGTTAGAGATGAGGCTGCAGCAAACTAGACTGGTCCCAGCTCAGGGCCCAGACCCTCTACTGCTGCAGAAGTGCGGTGTAGCCTGACAGGAGCCAGGACATGCAAGCCCTTCCCCATGGGGCCTGTCCCTGGAAACCTCCAAGGGCTGAAATGGAGTACTGACACAGGGGGAGAGGTGGGGTCCCAGATGCCCACTGAGTAACTGATGTTGGAGTCAGGGAAGGGTGAATAAAGAGCTAGCACTTGGCGGGCTGCTTATTTTGGCCTGGCAGCAAGGAGATAGATGGGGGAAGCAGGACTGGAGGTGGCCTGAGCCCTGGGTAGTAGGCCTTGATTCTTCTAGCTCTCAGACATGTCCATCTGGACCATTAGGGAAAGAATTCCTGCTGCCAGGCCTTGAGAGGTTTGGAAGTCATCAGGGGCAGGCAGCCAGGGACCAAACTGGGTGGCTCAAACTTACTGGGCTCAAGCAGCCTGCTCCAGGGAATGCTGAGGCCATAGGAAGGCTGCCTGGGCCAGGGCTAAACCAGGGGGTAGGGGAAGGCTCTTTGAAATGCAAGGAGAAAGACCCTGAATAACTTCACTGAGTCACAGCTTATCAGAGGGGCTGTGCATGGGCCTGAGCCATTGACAAAGAGCTCCTAGATATGCCGAGTCTGCATCCTTGGCCGAGCTGACAGACACCCAGTGCAGAAGCTTCTGAGCAGGACACCTCATGGCAGTTGCTATGCGCACCCTGCCTCTCAGATAGTTCATATTGCAGAGAATACAGTCTGGTTCGGGGAACTGAGGTCTCCATGGGGTCCTCCAGAGGAGCCCAGGGCTTCTGGGGAAGGGGGGGTCTAGCCATATAATCATTCTGAGTATCTGCCCCAAAGTTACCAAAGCCCAAGGTCCACACTCCAAGAGAACTCCCTCTCTATTTTTAGCCCTAGCAGAGATAGGCCTGGGATGGGAAGTGGCTGTGGACAGACTTCAGTGAGATGGGACTCCAAGGGAAGGGACTGGGATATGGCCCAACTCACTGCAGGTTCTGATGATTTGGGGAGAAAAGAGTGGGACAGCTGCCTCCAGCAGGGGCTAACTCCAGGAGCAGCCCCAGGTCCCCATCCCTGCCTCATTACCCACCACCCCTGCCCCCTAGCCTGCAGGTCCTTACCTTCCCCAGTCTTGGAGGTGTTGATGTCTGAGTCATCCCGAGTGCCATTCTGGGCCTCCAGGTAGGTGGCAGGGACCCAGCCCTGCTCCTCAGAGGTGCTCACAAACCACCAGCCTACAGAGAAGACAGGAGAACAGGACTGTGAGAACCAACAGAATGGCAGGGGCGGGTTGGGGGCTGGACAAGGAGGGAAGGAGTGGCCCAGAGGGCAGGCCGTGGAGCCAGATGGCCTGGGCACCTGGCCCAGGTCCAGCCATGAAGAGCCTGTATCTCTTCTGAGGCAGAAAAGGCTAGCACATTTCCTGAGAAGATGGCTCAATAAACCGCGACCCACACTTACACAAGTGAAATAGAAATGCTGATGTGTCCAATGCCTGAAAATCATCTTGCGGGAAAAGCCCAGGGAGCTCTGGCCATACATGGAGATCATTTATGGTTTTTCAAACCCTTTAGGACCACTGATTTGGCCACAGTCTGGCCACCTTCCCTGCTATCGGAGGCATCCAGGAGCAAATGCCTCACGGGTTCTCTCTCAAGCCCACTGCTTCCTCTCCCTACCACAAGTCAGTCCCTGGTCATTCATTCAAACATTTATTAAGCTGAGCTCCAGGTCTTGGGGCTCCATCCTATGCCTGCCGTCTATTCCTAGAAGTGCTCTCTTCCCTATCGGACACTTCTTTGTCCCCAGACATAATTTGGCACTAATTCTCTTTTACTGTTCATTGGAGAGATCTCCATTTCCTACTGGGAGACTCTAAGGTTTCTCCCTGGGCAGCCTGGGAGTGGGGGGAGGTCATCTCGGCCACCCCCTGCAATGTGGAGCCCTGGGTGCTGGAGGCCGCTGCCTGCTGTGAAGATGATGGGGAGGGGCAGCCCCAGCACTGCATAGTTGGGGGAGGTTGCAGGGACCTTTCCCCTAGAACCCAGGGTCACTTCCTAGGTCATCAACTAAATCCACACTGCCCCATTTGACAGGCCTGGGTTTGCTAATAGGCAGTGGTCTACCCTTGAATGTCCTTTGTCCCTTACTCTTTCTGGGGAATCCTGCAGCTCTGCAGAGCACATCCCATGTCCTGGCCTAGGCCTACTTGGCTCAGGGGCCTCGTCTGGGTCATTGCCCTTCTGAGGTTTCAGTTACCTCCTGTGTGGAGAGGGAATGGTCCAACTGCCTCTGAGTTGTTGGCTCAACTACCGTGGTTCGGAGTCTCTCCTGGCTGCCCGGCCCAGCCCCCATACTATCTCTCTCTGCCTGAGTGAGAGAAGAAGGACAATAGGACCCTTCCTAATAACCCCAGGCCTGACCCTCTGCTTCCTGTGTCCATTTCTCTCTCCCAAAGACCAAGACCTTCCCCTAAACACAGGCATATTAAGTCAGCTTGAGCCAGTGAGTCATAAGCCAACGGAGTTGGGAAGAACAGAGAATGTGCCCCTAGCGCAGGTGGAGGTGATGTCACATGTCCAACTTCCTCTCCCTACCTCTCTTGCTCCAAACCTTGCGTCTCCCAAGACCAGCCACTTCTCAGACTGCCTGTGCCCCCTCCTGCCACTCTCATTTCATAAGGACGTACATGGGTGAACGAGACACTGGCACCGAGTGACTGAAGGGCTTCCGTTTGAACCTAAGCAGATCGGCACCTAACCCCTACAACACGCCCCTGTGAGGCCAGGCTAGGCAAGCCATCTCCAGGGTCAGAAGTTCACCCAAGTCTCACTTAGATGCTCCACCCCAGAGGTCCTGAGACATCCTGCACTGGGCCCATCAGCCGGGGCTGGAAGAGAGCAGTGGCACACTCTGCATCCTGGTTCTCTGGGTCATGGACAAAGGGAGGCTTGACCTCTTAAGAGACAACAGCTGAAGTTACTGAGCCACTCATAGTGACAGGCATGGTTGGCACTCACCCTTGGGGATAGGCAGCAGTCACCAGCATGTCAGCAACTGGCAGACACACCTGTTGACAGCCACTAGCATTTCCCTAGCTTCCTGGTATAGAAGTGGTTATTAAAGCACCAGATACCTGCACTCACCCAGCTTCTGGGGGATGAGACAGGTTACAGGTAACTCTGGGAGCTCAGGAGGGGTCTGGACCATGCTTGGAGACTGCCTGTATGATATACCCTTGAAAGCTGGCTACAGTTGGCAATGGACACTCACCTTGGGGCCAAGGTCAGGCAAGAGGAACTGCTCTTCACTCTCAGCCACTAGGTGAAGAAGCATGATCTCTATTCACTGACTGTCCACCTCCCCAAACCAGGAAAAGCCAGAGGTCCCTGGCTGGTCAAGGAATCCCAGGGCCCTGTCTCCATGGCCATTCTGAACCCCCCATGGGGCACTGAGGGATTGCTTAGAGCAGCACTATTGTCCTCCCTGAAGCCCAGGTCACAGGGTTTGGCTGCTCACAGGTCCTGACTATTAAGTCCAGATCCTGACTATTAAGTCCGTCCCCCATAGCCAGAGGGTATGGATCGCTGAGGTCACTGGCTGGGATGTCTTTCCTTGTCTGAGCCTCTGGGGGAATGCTTTGAGCCTCTGCCAAGAAGCCCCAGTCCCAACTGCTCTGCATGGACCCTGAGGTCAGGTTACAGGACAGCCTGCCCCACATCCCTGGGCCTTGTGCTGTGTGCCCTGCTTCCTTCACTCATCTCTTGACTGGTCTGTCATCTCTCTGGACACTGAAAACTCAGGGAATCCAAGTTTTGTGCAGGTCTGTGACCCAAGCAAGGAACTGACACAGGTGCTTTGATGATCTAAGGCCCACATAAACCAGGAATTGGTGGGGTGTGGTGGCTCACTCCTGTAATCCTAGCACTTTGGGAGGCTAAGGTGGGTGTATTTTTTGAGCTCAGGAGTTCAAGACCAGCCTGAGCAAGATTGAGACCCAGTCTCTACTAAAAATAGAAAAAACAGCATGGCATTGTGATAGGGACCTATAGTCCCAGCTCCTTGGGAGGCTGAAGCAAAAGGATCTCTCAAGCCTAAAAGTTTGAGGTTGCTGATGATGACACGAGGGTACCTGATTCAGGGTGAGAGTGAGACTCTGTCTGAAAACAAACAAAACCCTCCCCCTAAACCAGGAATTGCAGGGGGCCTGTGGGGAGAGATGGCCTGATAGTTGAGTTAATAAAGGAGGAGAAATCAAGAGATGGAAAGAGAGCGAGTCCATCCTGATTCACACTGTTTGAGCTCCTGGTTCCAGGTAAAGCTGGACCATCCTATTGGACTTCCTAATTGCAATGAAACAATGAACTTCCCAGACTATCCTTTTATAGTCCCTTTAGTCTGTCCCCCTTATCCATGGGGGATACATTCCAAGATCCCCAGTGGATGCCTGAAAAGGCAGATAGTACTAAACCCTTACATATACTTTTCTTCCTAAATGTACATAACCATGCCATGCATGAGTTTAATTTATAAATTAGGCACAATAAGAGATTAACAACAATAAAAAAGTAAAATAAAAAATCATAGCAATATACTTGAATAAAAGTTATGTGAATGCAGTTTCTTTCTAAAATACTGTAATATTTTCTGACAGTGGTTGACCTCACAGGAAGCAAAACTACAGGTTTGTGGACCTACTGGCCATGAAGTTGGCTTTAATCATTTAAACTGAGAGCATCTTCACCAACACCACCTCTACCTATCGGTCACCAAGCATTATGATTGAGGGGTCCTATCACGAGCCAAGTCTGGAGTAGCAGCTACCACAGACCTCAGTGAGAACTAGGACCTCCACACCACTCTGGGCAAGTGGTCACTCACAGGACATAACCCCCAAGACCTCCAAAGAGCAGCAGCAGCTGCCATAATTCCCAACTTAGAGTCACTTTTTGGAGGCTCTTGAAAACTGAGGTTTAACACATGCCTTCTTAGGTTTGAGTTCTAATGGCAACAGCACACAGTCTGGGTCCCACAACTTGTCACAACACTTCCCAAACTAAATACCCCAGATCCATCCGCTAAGCCAAGCAAAGTTCCAGTAAACCAAGGAAGTGCCCAGAGGGCCTGGCCTCGGATAAGAGCCAGTCTTCTCAGGCAAGGGTTTCCCAGGATGGGTCTGGGCTGAGGCCAGGGATTATTATTGTCATTGGACAAAATACGGACATGCCTTGGGGAACAGCATAGCTTGGAAGCATGAATCTCACTGAGGATTTTCCAAGATCTCTTTGTGATCAGCCTAAGGTGTGCTCACTGCCAACACAATCCTCCCAAACAGCAAACCTTTCTCCCTATTCATCTGCACCAAGACAATCTTTTTGTCCTTTCCTTGAGTGAGCTCAAGGCATCTCAGGAAAGCCCTAGTGGTCTCCTGGATTACTAAGATCACAGTCCTCTAAACCTTCTCCGTGCTTCTGGAATTTGGGCTCCAAAGTCACCCTAAGTAAGCCCCCCCACCATGGGCACAGGTTGTGTAGGACACCAGGGAGGATGTCCCCACTGCAGATGAGTGTGTGGCCTTTCCTGGGGAATTCCCTCAATCAGTCCATTCAAGCCAGTCTATGTCCTGAGCTGCTGTGGGGAAACTCCAGGAGCCTGCTGACCTCCTGTTCTCACACCTTGCCCCTGCACAGACTTTTCTCCTTGTTCTAAGTGCCTACGATCCTGGGATATGGGACCCTTCTCTGCTGCAGGCATCACTCCTTTCCTTCCTACTTCCCTCTTGGGGAGCCCTTCCATGTATGCAATGCTCTTTTCCTTCCCCACGAGCCAGGGATCCAGGATGGAGAGTGAGTCTGCACTTGTGGGCAAAAGGGACACTCTTGGGGCAGGGCAGGCGAGGCCTGGCACTTCCTCCCACCCTGCTGCACAGATCCCGGCACACAGAAGGAGCTGGGTGAAGATCCTTTGAGGACCAATGTATGGCCGAGGTGTCCAGGCAGGGCAGTGTGATGCTTTGCACGTCACATGCCTAGGTGCCCTGGGACTGCCGCTGAGTCCTTTCCAGGTCAAAATCTCTACTGCACCAGATGCTTCTGGGGCACCTGGGCTGCAATACCTGCTAACTAGAAGCATTTCCTTGCCTCGAGACAGCAACTAAGAATCCTATTCCCCTGCTGTGCCCCCAAGACTTTCGTTCCCACTCATGGCTTGGTAGTCCCTGCGAACCTTGTCTGAG